CCCCCGACGCGCTGCGGTGGTCTCAGATGCGGGTTTGAAATAAGCATTTTAAAATGTTTTCAAAATAAGTCTGGCAACGTCTCAGAGTCCCCCAGGACGAGCTGGAAGGTGTCGCTGCGGAGAGCGGGGTCTCTCTGCTGCTGCCCCCCATCCTGCCGCACCTGTTAGCGGATAAGCCGGCCGGACAGACAATTTATATTGTTAGTCTAAATTATTACATTTAAAATTATAACTCTAATTCAAGCAGAATAGCCTATTTCAACACAATTATGGAGTGTAATTTATTTTCAACTCAAAACATCTTCAAACTAACGAAATATAAAGTTATTATGGAGGAAAACTCATCTGGATAACAGCAGACTGACTGCTCGTAAAATATACGACAGGTCTGGACCACTCGTGAATTTTGTTCGTATCTGAAAAAAATTCTTAGAATATGAAAACATTGTTGAATGCCACAAATTCTCCTAAATCACTCGTACACACAACTTAAGAACAAATCTGTGCATACCAACGGTTCTTGCATGAGGCCCATTGGGCCAAACAATCATAGCATATAATAAAGCGACTTTAATTTGACAACAAATTCAGAATGGATCAACACATGCTAACTTATGTAGCTTCCATATTTCTGTAAACTTCTTCTACTTCAGGGTCATGAACTGTTGGGAGTCTGAGATTCACTTTAAATGAGAATGTTAAAAAAGCTAGAAATATCTAATCTAAGCTTTAAAGTCTCAAGTGTGAATGATAGAAGGAAAAGTTTGACGCTTAAATCAACAGATGTAATTATAAAAGACAAATAAAAATAAAAGAGAAATCTTATTTCCTTCTTTCCTCATTTTGTGGACCCTAATACCAGTTACTGTATCTGGCTTACATTGCACTTCTAGAGATGCTTAACTATATTAACTTATCAAGCATTTTTTATCCAAAAGTTCACATCACCTAAAGGGGCAGTATCATGTAAAATAAACTTTTTTGAGTTTTATATCATGTTTTAATGTTATACTCTCATAAAAAACATGCCCAAAGCCTTGCTTTGACTCATTCATGCATGTTTGAGAAATCTTGCAACGAATTTAGGAAGCCATGCTGAGGAGCAAAACGACAGGAGCTCTCAACATTAGTTCTCTCAGTGAAGCTCTTTTCAGATTAAAAATACCTTTGAAGAAATGCATTTTCAAATGCCAAGTAAACTGCATCATGCCCCCCCCCCCGGCACCGAAATGGGCAAAAAGGAAGTGGAAGGTTGTTCTTAAAAAGACAGAGGCCAATTTCAAGGTGTTTAGAAGAGGAAGTGATGAGAAGAGAAGTTTATTTTCTATTTAAACATAAAAACAGCATTTTAACAACAGCTAAAGGTGACATAGATACTTTAGCTGTTGTTAAAATGCTGTTTTTATGTTTAAATAGAAAATAAACTGCTTAGAAAATAAAGGTGACATAGATACTTTATTATGGTATAGTATTTAAATGTATGCCTGAGAAACACATAATATTGGCCCTTTAATTAAGATGAGTATAAACAAGTTGATGAAAATTAAGTTATCTTCACTTCAAATATTTTATTAAGCAGAATGTTGCATTTAACAGTGAATATGTGCTATCTCAGATACT